CTCCTCCAGGAAGCCCTCCCAGACCAGTCCAGCATCTCCTGAGACTAATTTCACTTGGGACTCTCTTATCTATTCCTGCCTTCTAAATGCTGAACTACAGGATGGAAGATGACTTGACTTTGTCTTACACTTGATTATAAACCCAGAGCAACAAATTCAGGCTTTTATTCTTTTACTTAACCAATATTTGTCCACCCAAAGTGATTTGGAGCCCATGACCACTGCCCTTTGTTGCTATAAAGGAGAAATGTAATTTTGCTCTTGATAGGGAGCTTGGGAGGCGCCTGTACCGAGCCACACACATTTCTGGATAGATTACAGTTTCTGTGAGGATCTTTGCCTACGGACATGAAGTCGAGAGTCCACATTTAACCCTTTATTTCCTATCTTAAGTTTCTTTAAAGTTAATACAGCAACTGTGCAGTGGAAAGAATGTCCATGTTGGGGTCAAATCCCCTATCAATCCCTTTGGAGCTGTGTGACCTTGGTCAAGTCACTTTACCTTTCTGTGCCTCAGTTTTCCCATCTGCAAAATAAAACAATCCCAGCCCAGAGGGCAGCTGTGGAGCTAAGATCAAATAACCTGTAAGACAGGTGCTCAAACTACTTTTCTCTCCTCCTGCCCACTGCCTTCTGTCCTCGTGCTTATGTGGCCTCTGGGATGGGTCTGCCCAGACAGTATTGTCCCTGAGGGTCAGGTCACCACCCAAGGGAGGCAGGGGCATGTCCGGCCCTACCTGGGACGTCACTTCCACTCTGACCACAACCAGAAACTTTCACCTGCCTTCTGGAGATGTGGTTAGTAAGAAACTCTTCATTGCTACAAACCCTTCTTGTTTCCAATACAACCTTTACACAAAAGGGATTAAGCATTTCATGGAGGTGTTTATTTAGCTAACATACCTTTTGTAATATCTTTTGTAACCGTTTACAGGAAAAAGAAAATCCAATCAAGGGCAATTTAGCAAATAGAAGTTCCTAGTAGGGCCAGGAGTGAGTGTAATGTAAAATGATTGGGTTAGGAATTTGGAAAAGAGAATTTTTCTTTTCTAGAATGAGATGCATGACCTGGGATGTGTGTGTGTGTGCCTACGTGGTGGTGCAACGGAGGTGCAAGACCCCACAGGAGGACTGTACCCCAGGAAGGCTTCCTTCCCCAAAAGGTAGCCCGAGAGGCTGCTCCTGCCACCCTGAGGGTGAAGGGGTACAAAGATGTTCAAATGGTCATTGCCCATGAAAGATGGAGCCGTGCCCAGCAGGCGGTGTTTGCCCACACAGCGCAATCTGCCCAACTAGAGCAGGAAGCCTGCTGGGTTTTCAGGGCTGTGACGCTGAGCCAGCCAGCTGGCTACTCAATGCGTATCTATTCGGTATCTACTGAGCACATGGCTCTGTGGTTCCCAGATGAGAAAACCATCCAGAAAGGGAATGATTTTGCTCAAGGTCACCTCGTGTCTTGAAGGAGGAACTGAGGGCTTGGGGGGTGAATGCCCAGCTCAAGAATCCCAAAAGAGAACCAATGAGCCGCGTGGCCCCAGGAGAAGGGCCGGGTCCAAGGAGCCAGCAGTCTGCCTTCTCTCACTGGGGCCTCAGTTTCCCTGAAAAAGCTTCTCCAACAGCTTCTCTGTTGGAGCTGATCTCTAGAATAAGTTGTAAAAGTTGGGGCCGGTGGTTACAAGCGGCAGTTCTCGCCTTCCAAGCCTTGCCCCTAGGGCTCAGGGGCAATCGAGACACCACCAGCCCCTTGCTCACCTTGTCACTAGGCAGATGGGACGGGTCGTGCTTTTGCTAAGGAGCTAGCAGGTGCCTGGTGCATGGAGCTGCATCATAAGGGTCCTCAGCACCTGTCAGCGCGGGCTTCCCTCCCCGCCTCCGGGCCCAGGGAACGGCCAACCCACGGGCTGCCCGTGCTGAGCCTGAGCTCTGTTTGCCGTTGCCCAGGAGGTCAGGCTGCCCCCACCCCGGGCCCTGGCCTCAGCAATGCCGGCAGGGAGGTTGCTGCCAATTTGCTCTCTAGGCTGGGCCGCTGACTCCTGACAGCTCCCTGGGGAGGAGGACCCGGCAGCCGCCTCCAGCTGCCGCCCCCCACTGCCCTCCCAGCGCACAGCCATAGAAAGTTAACGGCCAAACTCGGCCCCTGGGAATGGAGGGGCAGCTTGCTGTGGGGGGCGGTCTGGGGCCTGGAACCAGGCTGGGCCAGCTGCCCGAGTGTCTTTCTCCGGAGACATGGGACGGAGAAAGAGAAGCCCATAAACTTCTCTGGGGCTCTCATGCGAGCAGAAAAATGGGAGTGGTTGGCAGCAGGGGTGGGGAGTCGCTGCACAACCCCAGAAGCCCCCCCTGCATCAGAATGCGCGCCGCCCCCGGTCTGGCTGGAAACCGCCTCTAGATGAAAGCACAGAATCTCCCAGTAACTGCAAGTTGTTCTCTTATTGCGCCACTTCGTAGGTGAAGAAAGTGAAGCACAGAGAGGGACAGTGACTTGTCTAGGGTCACACAGCTGCCAGGTGGTGGGGCCAGTGACTCGGCCCTTCGCCTGTGGTGGGGCAGCTTCCCTCGAACCCCCGCTTCACCCATAACCAGCACTTTGTTTTGTTAAGTCGTTTCCTCTGAGCCTCGATTTCCTCCTCCACCAAACGGGCACAAGAGCTCTACTCTCCCGGGTGGCTGTGGCGCAGGCAGGTGGCAGAGAGTTAAGAAGTCCCCGGCTGCCATGGGGAGGGTGAGGATGGCATTCTGCCTCCCGGATAGGACGCGTTTATCACGGCAAAGCAGCCCCAAATCCACGAGCGTGAGAAAGGCCAGGCATCTAAGCAACTCTGGATCCACGTTGATGCGGCGCTCCCCCACACCCCCTGTCCCTACAGCTGCGGGGGGAGCTGGTTAGGTATTGCCAGGCCCCCCAAGTCAGCTCACCAGCAGCCCTGCCCTGTTTCTGGAGAGGAGCTGCCCAGCACCCCCAGGAGTGTGTGAACTGGGCCGAACAAGACCCCTTGGAGCTGGTGGGAGCCCTGGCGGGGCAGCACCTGGGTGTCTGGACTCAGGGGCCTGTTCCCACCACGCTCTCCCACCGCGCCCCCCCACCCCTCATCCAAGCCCTCCAGGAAGCTGGCCTCTGCAGTGTAATCAAGTGGTCAAGCAACAGCAATTACTGGTCCTGCGGCTCTTGCTGCACCAGCTGTATTGACGCAGCGCTCCCGGCAACCACAGGGCCACGCCCGGCTGTGCCCATTTTAAAGATGAGGAAACTGCCGCGAGGCTCGCAGCTCGTCCAGAGCTGGGCTTGGAGCCCGCCAGCGCTTGACTCCATGGAGCTCGTCTAACCACTGGCCTCCCTTGGCCCCCGTGCTTTTAGGGGCTTTATGGAGCACTGTGGGCAGCAAGGGGGTACAAGAATCCCTGGCTTTGAACTCTTCCAACAGGCCCAGGGGAGGGCCAGATCTGCCACAGGTTTCCAGCTGGGAGGGCGGAGGGGTAACCAGAAAAAACAGGGCCTGCTGGGGGCCGGACCATCTCATGGAGATGTCATTAATCCTCATAAGGCGGTTGTTATTGTCTCAGTGGCACCAATGAAGGTTCCAAGGTGCATACAATTGTTCATCTTTAGGACAGCTCCATGGTGTGCACTTCTATCCCCATTTTATGGATGAGGAAACTGAGGCTCAGGGAGGTGCACACAGCCAGAGAAGCTGGGCAGGTTCTGGGCTCCAGAGCTCTTGCTCCACTGGCCATTACTGAAGCCCTTTTAGAGATGAAGGAAACCCGGGGTCTTTGGCTGTGCAGTCCTGGGAAAAGCCATTTTGTTTCTCTGAACCTTGGTTTCCTCACCTGTGCAATGAGGCTCCTAAGAGCACCGCCCCCCAACAGAGGTGAGTGGTTGGGGAGGGTGCCTGCATACTGCCACCTAGTCCACATCTAGGCCACCCCCCCAAAAAAAACCAGCACGTTCTCATCAAATATCTATTGGAAATGTGGTCTCACTGGGTCGCAGGAGGAGCCACCAGCCCCCTGCTAATTGGGGACCGTGGTTTGTCCCAGGAAGGGGGGTGAGCAGAGAGTCCCCGTGTAAACAGGGCTGATCCAAGGTGACAGGCAGCTCTTCCCAGGCCAGCCCCATCCTGTCCCCACTCCATAATCTGGCTGTGCCCCCTTAATCCACCAGCTTGCAGTTGCCTTGGGGGCCTTTGGGGCTGGGGCACTGAAAACCAGATCAGGCTTCCCTGGGTTCAAGGCACAGAGCGGAAGGGTCTCCAGGTCTTTTCCCAGTTTCCTGTGTGACCTTGAACAAACCCCTTCTCTTTCTTGGCCTCAGTTTCCCCATCTGTAAAGGAAGGGGCTGGACTAGTTGACCTCTCCCACCAGGGTCTTCCCAGCTCTGCCGTTTGACGTTGTCTCTCCCTACTTGTCTCTCCCTTCATCCTGCCTCAAGAAATTATTTTGGCCTCAGTCTCTATCTAATGTATCCCTCAGACATGTGAGACCTGGAAGAGACCTTGAAGCCCTCTCATTCTAGAACATCATTTCAGTGATGAGGAAATGAGGCGCAGAGAGGACAAGGGGCTTGCTGAAAGTCACCCAGATAAGAACCCAGAAGTTTGAGCTCACACATTGCCCAACATCCAAGGAGGATGGAAGTTAATTCCGCCCCCACCCCCAGAAAGCTTTTGGGGGCGTTTTCTGGAACCCGTTAGGGTCACTAGAGGGGAAACGAGAGCTGCTATTGTCATCTTTACATTCATCAGGATGCCCAGTCTCCAGCCCAGGTGGGGTCTTTTGGACAGGACAAGAGGCTGCAGGCACAGAGTTGCCCCAGGTCATGAACCCCACACCCTCAGAAAGATCAGCTTTGAAATCAAGATCTTCTAGCTCTCCTGCAAAATCACAGAATATAATGGAACAACAAGAGTTCTCAGGCAGTTTCAGATACCACAAACAGCGCATTGACACTCGAAACAGTTAAAAAAAAAAAAAGTATTGTTTGTTATTGTTGAGGCCCTCACCTGTATTCCCGTGGCGAGGGGTGGTGAGTTGGCCCTGAGTTTCGAATAATTCCTGACATTATAGATGGGATGTCACTTTCTAGCATCTCCTTGGGGGAAAGACAAGCAGAAAACAAAGCACCCATCAGTATCAATGTGGCCAGGGCAGAAACCCACAGTTTTCCCACAGCTCAGAAGGAGGGAACTCAAACAACTGACAACACTTTTTAAAAAAGAAGGGGGGAAAATACTAGAGGATTCCTGGGCATCCCAGGTCACCCTCCCAGGGCAATTCTACAGGGTTTTAGAAGCAAATGAAGAGAACGGAATGACATTCCAGGTTCTTCCGAATGAATGGGGGAAGGGTCGAGGAAGGCTCTAGAATCCAAATGTCAAGTCTTGGGAAATGTAGACTCACAAAATAGGAATCAGAAAAAAATATTCACTTCCAACGCTCACGTTTCCAACTGCAGTTCTGATAGCATCACTTTGAAAATAGAAAACAAAAAAGGACAGCTTGATGGGTCACATGTTTCTCTGGGAAGCCAAATTCCACTTGCAAAGGGAATAAATCCCCGTCCTAGAAATGAGAAATGCCACATCCCCTGGCTGGAAAAACCAACCCACCCCACCGCACCCCACCCCACCCCAGACACAGCCTTAAAACAAAAACAAAACAAAACTTTGCTGAATTTCTCAAACTCCAGGTCCGAAGCGAACACAGAGGCCCCCCGAAGACTCTCGGATCTGCCCCAAAAGTCATTTAAGGATTCCCGGGAGGGAGAAAAGGGGGGCCCGAGAGAGGCACTCCAGACCCCGAGCCGGGGCTCCCCTGGAGACCCTGGAGCCGCGCCGACCCCGCAAGGCGGTACCTGGAGCCGATTCTCGCCGGGGCCGCCGCGGGCGCTCCTGGGGCGCGGGGGCTCGCAGGGGGGCTCCCTCGCGCTCACCCCTCGCGCTCGCAATTTGGCCGCTGTCGCTGCTCGAACCGTTTTTAAATTTCCCTCCCGGAGCTGTCCAGCCCGGAGCATGCGCAGAGAGCGGTGCGGGCTCGTCCCCAGGGTCAGCCGCGGGGCAGGTCAAGGGGACTGCGGGGCGCTCCCCGCGCCGCGCGCCCGGCCGGCCCCGGGGCTCGGGGTGGGGGGGGCGCGCACCCCGCTTTAAACTTCACCCGCAGCGGCGGGAGCTGCGCGCTCGCGGGCCTGCGTGGAGCAGCAGGGGCGGGTGATGGGGCCTGAAGAATTAAGTTGCAGAAGGAAACTGGGTGCATGAAAACGTGCAGCCCCGTCCGCGCCCGGGGGGGAGGAGGTGGGCGGGTGGAGGGATCTGTGGCAACCCCCTGGCTCCCCAAAGAGGGGGCGGGCCAGGAGGCCGAGTCGCGCCCCCAGGTGGACCCGGGGCCGGTCACCTGTCCCTTTAAGAAAGTTGCTCCCGCGCGGGCTGGCGCGCGGCTGGGGGGGCTGCGGGGCGGGGAGCCCCCGCGCCGGGCGCCTCCACCTGCCGGGCCGCGGGCGGGGCGGGGCGGGGCGGGGGGTGCCCCGGGGCCGCGCGCCCCTGTCCCGCGTGCAGGGGGAGCCGCCCGGGGCGAGCGCGGGGCGCGGTGGGGTCGCTCGGGCCGGCCGGGGCTGCGCGGGCGGCGGCGCTCGGGGTCCCCCCGCGCGGCCGTTGGGGGCCGGGCCCGCCCGTGCGCCCGCGCTCCCGCCCGCCCGCCGCCCGGCCCGCCCTGCGCCCGCCGCGGGAAAGGTGGCGCGGCCCGCGGGCGGCGCGCGGCCCGGGCGGACAAAGGTCTCCCCAGCCCCTCCAGGGGACTCGGGTTAGCTCGTCCCCCCGAGAAAGTCGGGTCTCCGGCGCCCCATCTCTTGAACCTCCCCTGCCCGGAGCAGCAATAATAGTCACAGCGACCCATGAGCTTTTATTTCCACCTCCGCGTTGGTCCTAAACACGAGCCTTTAGGGTTTGGGGGCCTCTTTGGGCCCGGGGGGTACTGAAGCTCTGAGCGGTGACGCGCGGCCCCAGGGCGCCGGGTTCGAGCCCAGGCCCCCAGGCCGCGCAGCTCGCAGCCCCCGCCCGCGCGCCAGGCTCCTCCAGGCTCCTCCAGGCCCCCGCGGGGCGGCCGCGCCGCCATCCTGCGCGTCTTGGGTTTCTCGAGGCCCTGCTCGCGCTGTGCACCCCGCAGCCGCTCAGGTGCTGCATGTCCGCACCTGCGGGGAGGGGCGGCCTTTCATAGCCCCTGTTGAAGTTCAGGGAGGAGCCCGGACTCCTTGGGCTGGATGTACCTGCATTTTATTTTCCATCCAGGTGGGTTGTGACCTTGGCGCTCGTCCACGTCCTCCTGAGTGGTTTCCTTGTCAGCACCTGGGCGCCCGGGTTCTTTCTTCTCTGCCAGGAGTGAATAGATCAGCTTGCAGTCTCTAGGGGTGGGGAGGTAGTTTACAGATGTTGCTTAAGGTTATGGACATAAACCTCGCTCAGTTTTCATCTCTCCAATCTGCATCCAGGTAAATTTTGCATTATGGCCGGTTCTGAAAGTAGTTTAGGTTGCGCGGAATGTCCCCAGTGACCTGTAATGAAATTACAGGTTAAGTGTTTCGAAGTCAATGCATGTGGGTTTGTGTCGGTTCATCCTTAATGGAGTTGTAAGGAACAGGGTGACTTGACAACTGCCTTTTGAGGTGCCAGTCATTTGCATTAAGGTATCATTTATGTCTTCAGCAACTTTGAAAAGAAAATCTCTCCTGAGAGCTGGTGCCCTCAGTACAGGGTTTTAAGTAAAAGGTATCTAGTCCATGACTTCTGTAGACTCAGGCGCTGTGGAAAAAGAACAAGAACCTTTTCATTAAACATACACAAAACGTGTGTGTGTGTGTGTGTGTGTGTGTGTGAGCGCAAGGCCCCTGGATTTTGGGCTGGCCGCAGTGGTCCCTTTACTCAAGAACTGTGATCTTGAGTGCCTTGCTTTAGGAATGGCTGCTGAAAATACTGTGCCCGAACACCTACTGTTAGAGTTATTCCAAAAACCAAGGTAACTTAGCAGAAACCCTTCTTTCTGTTAGATGAAAGTATTTTTTCCCCTTTTACAAATGCCTGGCGTTTCTCGAGCCTGGTCAATAGCGGTCACCTGGAGTGAACTGGAACCCTCCAGGGCACGAGAACTCTTATTTATCCACAAGTGTTTTGGGTGAGTCTGTGATCACTAAGGATGGGCACCTGAATCCCATGAGGCCCTTCTTCAGAGAGTGGCCAATAGGATTTCGTTTTCCAATCACAAGCAGTCTCACCTGTGTCCACAGCTCTGCAAGGGCTGTATTTGCCTCTGTAGGAACAGTCTGAGTTTGGTTCCTGAGTTTGCTGACATACCTGCTTCACTGCCAGCAAGAGCGCCACAAGGCTCGACAGAGAATCCTGTTCACCAGACCTCCGATCACACGGGAATCCGCAGAAGGAGAGAAAACAACAGGTATTTGGCCTTTCTGCTTATTCTCTGGTTTGCTGCGGTGGGAAATGTTCTTATCTGGGCTTTTAAAGTTTTGGTAGCGGAGCAGTCGCGGTTTCTGCTTGGTTTTCAGAGCTGTGGAAGAAACACTAGGTCATCATGTTAATGGGGAGCTGCCTCGGTCATCCCTGGGAAAGCCAGTTCCTCGCGTGCCCTGTGGGTGCAGGGTTTGTCTTGAAGGGTAAAAAACTTAGCAAGTTCGGTGCAGGTTTTAGCTTATCAGAAAGCAGCTCAATTTTATTACAAGTCATCACTGTTTCTCCCCTCCCCCCGCCCCCCAGGTTCTTGACATTTGTTTATTTTGATTTTCTGCTAGGAGGGAAGAGGAAGCGTGGTCAGGAACCCTTAATTTCTAGCAAAAAATAATCCGTCTCTTCATTCTGACCATAGGCTGGGGTGGTGGACTGCAGGTGTGTCTGTGAAGCAGCAATCTCAAAGTGTTTTCCACTAAAGATGGTGCTAGAACAACCCCCAGGCCACAGCACCTCAGGCCATGTCCCGCACGTATTAGGTGCTGTGGAGAGATAGTCCTCCAAAAAAAAAATTTGTCCATTGGGCCTCCCCGGTGGCGCAGCGGTTGAGCGCTGGGTTGCAAAGCTGCCCGCGGCCTCTGCGGCGCCGGTTCGATCCCCGGCTGCTCCCCGGCCACCAGAGGAGGGTCCCACATGGCGCGCAGACCTCTCCTGCCACCCGCTGCTCCCCTCAGCAGTGGACTTCGGTCCTTCTGCCTGCTCTGCTCCCCGCTCTGGCTCTGGTGAATTCTCTCACCCTCCCGCACTTCTGACTGTACCCAGTGCTTATATAAACAAAAAACAAACAAAGCAAATAAATAAATAAAACATGCCTCTATTTAAAAAAAAAAAAATTGTCCATTGCTAAAAATGAATTGGATGATATTTTCTTATAAGAAAGATCTCAGGTTCGCTTTCCATGGTGTACGCCACCTCGACAAGTGATTGACTCTGATCTCTTAAGACTGTCTGATTCTCTATCGCTGTGATACACTGTCCTGTGTGTGCTGTGGCCCTTGGGTGTGCTGTGGCCCTGGGTGTGCTGTGGTCCTGTGTGTGCTGTGGCCCTATGACAACAATTGCTGTCACAGGTCTTATTGAATACAAAGATGCTAAGCCCTTGGTTGTTTCCAGAAAGGGAACCCACCCCACCCCACCCCCGCTGATCCCCCCAGCCAGTTCAACCACTGGCCAGTCTTACTCCTGAGGAAGGTGTTCAGTCCTTACTAAGTCACGCCTGTCTTGCTCCAGGAAGTGGCAAGAGCGTATTTTTTTTTTTTTATCAATTTGTTTTCCTCTTTCCCACTGTAATAATCTCATGTTGTCATTTTTGCAATATACCCAGGGACTCTGTTATGAAAAAGTGACTTTTTGGGGAGTGTTTTTCTTTTTACTTTTGAGAATTTGTGTGTCAAAAAGAATAGAAACTCAGACTCTTGCCTCAGTGGCTCCACAAAACAGAATTAAGAGCACCAGGTTATAAGCTTATTTTAATCAGTGTAAGGGGTCACTTTCTAACAATAATGGACCCAGGCCGCTTGGTTCCGCTGATGCTGTTGATGGGGAACAGGTGGAGGAGTATTCCCGGCCCAAACTTGAGTAGAATTAGATCTCCGAGGTCCAGCCAGTGCTGACATTCCGTGCTCGTCTAAACCTCATCCTGGAAGTTCAATGCCAAGTCAGTGCACATAAATAGCAAACTGTATTGAATGTGGTTAAATTTCTGCTGCTTTAAGATATTTACATCAAATTGTGATAATGCAGAGGCAGACAAAAATAAATGCTTTGAGGGAAAAACATAAAATAATAATGTATCAATTTCATGTATCTTGATAGTGACCACACCGAAACTGTCGGGCAGTTATCATTCTATTTGACTTACATTTAAAAGCACAAAGCAAATAATTGAGAGAGTAAAACATTTTTCCTACTGTAAAAATGCTTACAAAGCTGGGCTGTCTCTTGGCAGCATTACCCAATAGCTGCATCGTTGTTATAATGCTGACATTTACTCGCTTCATTCTGAATCAAGAAATATTAAATTGTTAGGCACCATCTTAACCCTAAGCATATTTTATTTTTGGAAAGTGGATAATCTGGCATGTAAACATAGCAATTCCAGATGAAAAACTATTTCCTCAGGACCACCCTTCACCTGCCACATGAGGTGACTCTTCAAATGAGGTGACCGCTAGGTAGAGGAACTCGTGGTGGCTGAGCAGTGAGACCCACCAGAGTTCAAGTCCCCGCTGACCCTCCCTCCTGGCTGAGTGACCTTGGGTGAGTTAGTCCTCGAGCTTTTGCTTTCTCATCTGTAAAGATGGAACAACAACACTGCTCTTTCAGGGCGTGTGAGGCTAGGAGATTGTACCTGGTGCGTACCAAGTCCTCACCTGCCAAGGACTGTGTCTCCAGGTGCTTAGGATTTTCAGAAGGCTCTTATTCTCTAGCTAGATTT